CTTGAGGTTTTTGTGCAGAACAAAAAAGACGAGGAGCTGACGGGAGACTGATTTGTTTTTACCTGTTTTTATTTATGCTAAGCTACGCTAACCAGCTGCTGGAGTTAATCTTATAGATTCAAGATTGGCGAGATTTACAGGATGTACGCTGTGACGTGCAAAGTGACCGCTGCTCAGCACTGTGAAATAAAAATATGATGTAATTTATAAGAAAGCAATATTTAAAAACATCATAAATAATGAGTGAAGCTAACAGCGAGTTCTCTAAGAGTTGTACAAAACTTATATTATTTTCATATAAATCAGATTTCTCCACATGCTCAGGTCGGTCTGAAGCTGTTCAATCACCGATAACACGTCTCATATCTCTGACTCCACCGTACAACAGGTGCTTTCTTCTTCTTCTTCTTCTTCTTCTTCTTCGCTGCTCTTTGCTCGTCTTGGTCGGCTCGCTGCAGAGCTTCAGGTTCCTCTGAGTGTGATTCTGCTCTGTGGAGCGACGCCGAGCTGTTCCTGCTGATTCATGCTGCAGTCAAACGGCAGAGTTTCTGCTTTGAGGCGACGCAGCCTCCGACCTCGTCGCCTGTCGGGAGGTTTAGAGGCTCAGAAAACAAAGAAGAGAAAGAAAACCCAGCAGCAAACAGCAAACATCAGATCTTCTGTTGTTTTTAAAGAGTCCTAGACGTCAAACCGACTGACTTCATTCAGTCATGATGATAATCAGTGGTTTTATTTATGTTGAATCTTTCAGGATCCAGATAAAATTCAAGCAGGATGTTTTTGCTCCTGTCTTGTTTTTTAAATGCAACTTAAAGTCCTGCAGCTCTTCTGTCAGAGTGATTGGACGAAAAATGGCATAAAAGGATGTGAAAATGGCACAAAAATTACACTAAAAGACACAGAAATTACATAAAAAGACAAGAAATGATGACGATAAACAACCATTTCATCTTTTTGCTGACTCCCGTCTCGTTTTTTGCAGCAATATTTCGAAACTTCTGCACAAAAATGACAGAAAACAGAAAAACCGAAACATTTCTTTGATTATTTATATCACATAAATAAAAAACAACCTGGAATCTCTTTAAAAATGTGTTTTTGGCAGAAACGTCCCTTAAATTTTGTCAGAAAGAGACAAAAACAGCACAAAAGGTTCAAAAATGATGCTAAAAAATCACAAAAATTACACGAAAAAACCCAAAAAGAGAAGAAAGCACGATGATGCACATCTGCTTCCATGAATGTGTCTCGTTTTTCCAGATGTGAACTAAAGTCGTGTCATTGATTCGCTCCAGGACGCTGAAGAACCTGAAAATCCAACAGTTGTTCCTGTTTTTAGAACGTCGCAAATCGCAAAAGAGAAAAGATTTAATGTCTTAAGACGACCTGGAATCAACACGTCCAACATTTTTCACTGTTCCTGAGCCGAGCTGCGTTTGTCTCGGACTAGTTTATGTCACATTAAACAGATTCTGAGTCATTCTGAATGTTTTTTTAAAATCCTTTTGGACAAACTGATTTATTTTGGACAGTTTTTCAAACACGTGCAAATTTTGAGTCATTTTAAACATTTTTTAAGTCATTATGGACAAAATTTGAGTCACATGAATGAGTATTTACATTTTTTTAGCTGTAGAAAGATGTTCCACCATCAGCTGGATGTATCTTCAACCTGAAAACTCTCTTAATTTCTGCCNGAAGGAGGGAGTCGAGGGATTCGTTGTTGTTTAGACTAAACGAGGTCGAGACCTTGAGATTTACTCCGAATCTCAAACGCTTGTGTGTGTTTGTGTGTGCGGGTCGATGCTGATTCCACCAATCAGAGCCTCTTTATTCGGGTTAACTCGTCGCCGGGTCGACCCAACCCCGACCTCCAGCATCTGTCGCCATGGTAACGGGCGGCCAATGAGGGGCGAGGGGAGCGAAAGGTGTTTGAGCTGCTGCTGCTGCGTCTCCTCTGATGCAGGAGAGACTCAGCGTCACCTCACAATCGTTTCCTTTATTTCTTTAACACCTGACGGGCTGAACGTCTGGCCTCGCCTCGCCTCGTCCTCGCCGCCGCCGCCGCCGGCAGGTTCTCCGGGTTCCGTCGTTCTGCTCCACTTGCGGCCGCCACCTGTTCGCCGTCTGCTCCAGAACCGTCTGATAATCTGTGCTTTCTGTTTTTGTCCACAGTTGGCGGGTTTCATCTACGCCTGCTACGTGGTCAAACTCATCTCTGAAGAGGAAGACAGCTGTGAGTACGACACACACACACACAGGAATAATAAAATAAATCTGCTGGTTTATGGCTCCGATTAAACAGGAAGTCACGTTGCTGTTTCCAGAGAAACCTGCTTCCTGTCTGATAATTAATTAATGAATATGGGTTGTTTTTTATCTTTACATAAAAAAGTCTAAATTCTCTGATTTCAGCTTCTCACATGTAAATATTTTCTGTTTTCTTTCCTCCTTTACGACCTTAAACTGAACATCTTTATACCAAACATGTCATTAATTAACCTCGAGATCAATCTTTAGCTGCAACTCGTTTGTTTTACAAACACGACGTCTCAGTTGTTCCTCCGTTCAAACAGGAAGTCGCACTCAGGCTGCAGAAAAATACAAATCTGACAGTTTCATCATTAGTGAAGCTTTGTCAGCTGTTGAATTGATTTTAGTGGTGTTTCAAGTCAAAAAATTAAAGTAATAAATCCGTTTTTGCTCCTTTCTGACAGTGAACTGACAGACGTTTGGCATCTGGGATGTTTTTATGATACGATTCCAAAATTAAATAACATGAGAATAAATGCAGCACCTCGCAGACAAAGAAGTCAGATACAAGTCCAGCACATTACTGAAAAAAAACAAATAAATGAACTAAAATAAAACTAGAATAGAAAAAGCATCAGGTTGGATAATTAATTATTCAATCTGAGTTGTTATAAACAGAAAGCCTAAATTCTCTGACTTCAGCTCCTTAAATGTGATTATTTTCTGGTTTCTTTCCTCCTTTATGACGACAAACTGAATGTATTTGAACAAAACGAGACGTTCGATCCACAGTTTTCAACTTTTTCTGACGTTTTAGAACCTAAACTAATTAATTAATCCAGAAAACGATCTTTAGGTGCATCTATGT